CTCTGCCATAAGTGATGGCTGCTAACCATGAAATCTGGCACACCGTCCACTCTGCCATAAGTGATGGCTGCTAACCATGAAATCTGGCACACCGTCCACTCTGCCATAAGTGATGGCTTCTAACCATGAAATCTGGCACACCGTTCACTCTGCCATAAGTGATGGCTTCTAACCATGAAATCTGGCACACTATCCACTCTGCCATAAGTGATGGCTTCTAACCATGAAATCTGGCACACTGTCCACTCTGCCATAAGTGATGGCTTCTAACCATGAAATCTGGCACACTATCCACTCTGCCATAAATGATGGCTCCTAACCATGAAATCTGCCACAATGTCCACTCTGCCATAAGTGATGGCTGCTAACCATGAATTCTGGCACACTGTCCACTCTGCCATAAGTGATGGCTTCTAACCATGAAATCTGGCACGCTGTCCACTCTGCCATAAGTGATGGCTCCTAGGGTACATGTTCATGACGATTTATTTCAAAATTAGATCAAAGATGGCCAACTGGTAGCCATCTTGTTTTTTGAAAATGTTGTATTTTGAACATGCTTTGTCAGTTTTCATTCAAATTTAGTACATAGATCATACATGTTAGGATACATGTCCCCGACTGTCCGTGAGTTCCCGAGTCTGTCCATCCGTCCTTGTTGTCCGTCCATCCCTCAGTCTGTCCAGAGTCATATTTCAGAATCCTGTAGACCGATTTCCGATTTCAAATTTAGTACATAGATTATACATGTTAGGATACATGTCCATGACGATTTATTTCACAATTGGATCAAAGATGGTCGACTAGCAGGCATTTTGTTTTTGTTTTTTTTAAGTGGTATCTTGGGCGTGCTCTGTCAGTTTCCATTCAAATTTAGCACATACATGTACTTTATACATGTTAGGATGCATGTCCATGACAATTTGTTTCAAAATCTGGTCAAGGATGGCCAATTGACAGCCATCTGACTTTTTGGCCTTACTACTATATTTCCACAATTTATGTACCATTCTCATTTGTATTTGGCACATACATCATACATATCAGTGTGTTTAATAATCTGTTCAAAGATGGCCGAATAACGGCTGTTTTTATTTTTGGCCATATTACTATTACTCGGAACACATGTTTTGATGTAAATAAACAATCTGTTGTATACGCCACTTGGAACTCAAGTTTCAAGGACACTCTCGCGACAACCCCTCCGCTTTAATATGACGAGCACAAAGAGAACTTAATTTAACTGGGACTGTGTCATTTTCAATGACTTGTTAGTCCCCGTTCGGACGCAGTCCGAAAACGGGGACTTATGTTTTGCCCTGTGTGCGTCCGTGCGTCCGTGCGTCCGTGCGTCCGTGATCACCTGTATCTTGAACATGCATGGACCGATTAAGTTCAAACTTCACTCATACATCACACCTTATATGGGACATATGCACATGCATTTTTTTCATGATCCGATTAACGATAGCCGAATAGCGGCCATTTTAAGGCCGAAAATGCATCAAAATCGCACATTTTCACCATTCCGGACCCGGATCTCAGTTATGCATGGACGGATTTTGTTCAAATTTGGTACATACATTAAACATAATAGGACCTTGATGCACGTCATTTTTTTTTTTGGATCGGGTTCGAAATGGCCGACTGGCGGCCATTTTGTTTTAAAGAATTCAGTTCTGGATCCGTATCCGAGACATGTCTGGATTGATCAAGTTCAAACTTCA